GGAAATGTGTAAGACCATATTAATATATGTTTAAGGTATGCAGGGATACCGGTTCTCTTTTTGTAAGTTTAATATGACTCAGATGAGAGTGGAAGAAGCACTAGTTTTAAAAACAGAGTATCGTGTGTTGGAAAAAGTTTTATTGTTTTATTTAAATGGGTAGGTTTTAGTTTTGTTCCCTCATCCTAGCAAGATTTCTGGGCAGTTGCAATTGCCTTTGGATACATTTTCCTTATTTTGTGGTTGATTTTGCGTACATGGGGAGTTTATGTCCTTTTTCACAATGTAAGGTTGTGGAAGGACTAGAAGAGCACAATTCAATTTGACAGGTTCTCTTGTCTCTCTCTCAATCTAATTATGGTTGCTGAAACAGTTGCATCCTGTATGTGGAGAGAGGTGCTGCTGGGTGTGGGTACACACATCTGCAGCTTCTTAAAATGTTTTTGGTATTGCAAAGTTAAAAAAGAATAAATCTGTAAGACAGTTCCAAAGTTAGGTAGAAATGGAAACAGTTTAATGAGATAATCTCTGATTTCACTAGTCTGTGCACTAGGAAAACAACATGAAATATTTCAGTTTTGTATATGTGAAAGTATATTCTTCTCCATCTGCTAGAGCTTTGGGGTATCTGTTTGTTTCGTGTTTGAAGTCCCTAATCTGTCTGTAGCATTCTAGTTTAGTCTAGACTCCCTTTGGAAATACTTTCTGTTGTAGATACTCAGCAGGGAATGGCCCAGGCCAGCCTTTTCAGGTTTTACAAACCATAGCTGGAAATGATCTTAAGATGTGTAGGCATTACATTTAAAAAGCCCAAAACACACTACCGTGTAACATAGCCTTGAAATTAAAGGGGAAATGTTTGTATTATGGGATTTTAGCTGCTTCTAAAGCTGACACCACTTCTTCCTCGCTCCATTTCATGTAAATGTAGAATTTTGGTGTCTGTATGTGGAATGTTCGTTAATGAACTGACACTTAAAAGATGATGTAAGAGTACGTCATTATAGCAGCACGTCTGTCTCCATGTGTCACTTTTATGTGTCGGTGGATTGGATGACAACCCTGTTTTCTGCAAGCAACTGCCCTTTTAGTCCCAAGTGCAGCCCAGCCCTCGTACTTCACTAGACTTTTTGGTAGAGCTACGTCCTGTTGCTCAGCCTCTGGGTTGGCTGTAGATGCCTGTCTTCCATTTCCGAAGTTTTATACTGGCTGCGTGTAGAACTTCTGTTTGACCCTTCAAACACGTTTCCAGCCCACTGGAGACACGCCTTGATTTGAAGCAGTGCTTATTCAAAAAGAAAATTCTGGTAGCAAACACATGAAGAGCTCTGCTTGGGAAAAGGCTTTTAGATCAATTTAGTCCCTTGGGAATCTCTGACTTTTTGCACTAGCAGTGGTGTCAATACTGTGATTTTTATTAAGAAAAACCTAGTGGCTGCTTCCTTTCTCCCCGCAGCTACCCTTCATATCTGAATAACAATGAAAAGTGGAACTTCATATCATTAAAAAAAAATTACATAGAAACAAGATGAAAAAATTCCGAAGTTTGTAAAAGTGGGGGTTTTAGAGTGTAACAGCAGATTTTTAAGAGGGTTACAAGATATTTGTGTAAATTTGTGCACCTTGAAATATCTTTTGTTGAGTTATCGTTATAGAAATGTATGGGTAACAAGACAGCATATAGTTTTCAAGGTGCACAAGAACATACAATACAATTGTAACTGATAGTTATTGTTGAACAGTTCATAGTTTTAAAACTAGCCAGTAAAGCTGGAGTTATTTTACTCTTCTGTCAGATGCTGCTTAGGTGGTTATCCTTTTTGTCCTGTACTGTTCTTGAACACCCTTTCATATCCTTAAGTGTTCCGTTGCTTCCACAAGCCCTTTTTGATGGGGGCATTATTTCTGTAATGCCTTTTTACTCTGCTGGGGCAAGGTGCAATCCATTCATCACATGAATTCATGTTAAAATATTTAAGGACTTGTATGTAAAGAAATTTAGTAGCAGGTGCTTGTAGCAGGATGAGAGCTAGTGAACTGTAAACTAGAATAAGTAACTCATCATGTTACAGTGTTTTCTGTTAGACCCTCCCTCATCTAGGGTAATTGCTACTTCAAAAATCACTGGCAGGAGGTAACGAATACTGCAGAAAAAGTGAATCCCCAGCAACTTGATTGCTGCAAGTTAACTTCTCAACTTTGTTAAGATGCTGGAAATTACAATGAACTTGCCTTAGGCTAAAATACATTAAACAAATCTTTGGTCTTGCTTCATGACATGGGAAACCCCTAATGCGATTTTTGGCACCGTATAAAACAAAGCAGAAAATGGGAAAGGGGCAAAGCTTTTCCTTCATGGACACAGGGTGAGAGGATTTTGCCTAGGAGTGCAACATAATGGCAAGAGATGTTGAGAAAGCAGTTTCCCCAATTCCCAAACTTCAAGAATGCTTTAAAAGCTGCCTAAAAAGGGGGATGCTGACAAAGACGACTGGTGAATCTAAATATCGAGCTTAGACTTTCTATGTATCATAGCTTACAGGTGTCTTTAAATTGCAGAAAGGGAAAAAAGGAAAAAGCTATCAAAGTAAACATCCTTCAGTGCATGGGAAGATGACAGATTCTTTCTAACAAGATTTTCTGCTCTCTTGGAGGAAGACCATTTGTTAATAAACCATTTGAGAATCCATTTTTAAGGGATTTAATAAAATATACAGGGACTACCTTCCACTGCAGAAGCTATTATTCCCTTGGGTAGAAAAAGTGACTGACTACGGGCATTAATGGTTGTTTCCTTTGATTCCTGGCATTATGTCTTGCTCCCATTTGCACTTTTTCAACTTGAAGTGAAATAATTTTTTATGAGAAACCTGCACTTGATTCCTAGCTCTTATGAGGCATGTATGTGTTCTATATTTTATTTATTTGTATTCAGTCATGTCCATAATTCTCATCATTTTAGTGTCTGTGTTTATAGCAAGGGCATTGTGTGTGTTTGAGCATGCTTTCCTGTGTACAAGAAAGTTTCCCTTCTGGCAAACTCCATTAAATGGAAGAGGTAATAGCTTTTGTATGAATTCAATGAATTGTTCCGTTCTTGCCAAAGATTTTAATGAATAATTCACACATTTCCATCAAAAATCATAGGTTTTCGATTGTGATGGTTGCTGTCAATTAAACAAGAAGCCTGAACCTATTGCAGTCTATAATAGATACCTGCCTGGAGGGGTTGGGTAACCCAGAGAAGAGAAAAGATGTTTTAAGAATTTAGAGGAAGGTTTTCTGCTGCCACCTTTCCAAATCTAGATATAAGCTATACTACTTTCAAATGTGAGAGAAATACAGTGGAATTGAGGGATTAAGTAATTTTTGTAAGGCATCTTGCCCTTTCTGAAACTATCAACAGACTTTGGTTCTCTTAATTTAAGAAACAATTCTTCTGTTAAGAGCGCTTTGTAAGAGTGTGTTTGTGAAAAATACCAGTTGATTTTGTTAGCTGCGATGATAGGAGGAGGAGAAAGTCAGGGGCAAGTGATCCTTAGAAGACAAAGCACGGATAGTTTTATGTATGTAAATGTCAAATTCAGTTATACCCAAACATGCCCTGCCTGTATTGCCTTACTGGCCTGTTTTTGTCATGTGTGGTAAACAGCAGGCAGTGCTAGAAGTGAATTTAGCATAGCTAGCTAAGTGAACACCCAGGCAGACATTAGTTTCAGAGAAGGAAAAATGAAATCTGGAAAGCTAATATTACAGTCACTGGCAGCTCTAACAGATCCCAAATGGATGTACTTAGAGGCCTAATTTGTTTGATGATTTTCTTTATCAGAATTATCTCCATATCATATCCAAGAACTGAAGACATACTGGCAGGCTGTGGATGGCAAGATGGACAGTCATTGCTCGGTCATAGGGTTACTACCTTTTATATAAAAAGAGATTATAGATAGGATGCTGCCAGGAAATGACAGAACTGGTAGAGAAGGGGACAAACAGTAGGACAGACACATTTAGAAGTGGTGGTTTATTCTACAGTAACAACTGTATGTGTAGGAGCCTGTTCCTACTAATTCATCACTTGGTCTCTCTGTGCTTGCTTGAAAATGGTGTAGCATCAGTAGTAAGCAAGTGTAATTCCGTGAATAGAGGCTTGAACAAATCTAGTGAAAATTCAAGAATAACATATTTGTTCCCTCTGAACCACATGTACCTCAAAAGGAACCAATCCAAATACTTAGTGTCAGAGAATAAGTTCAGATCTTCGGTGCTGAGAACATGAAATATGCATTTAAACAGTTCCCTGTAAATTTGCAAGAACTCTCCCTGTAAACTCAAATGTGACCACAACTGGTTACCATGAGTTTCACTTCACAATAACACTTAAGCTGTATATTTGGACAAGGGACAGACTAATTTTGTAACACTCTAACCGTTGAAGATCCTGAGGTCTTGGCTGGAGTGCATCAGAAAGGCAGGTGGGTTGGAGTTAAGGGATGCCGTGGCTTTTTGAGGAATGAACTGGGTCACACGTTCCAGATGGAGCAGTTTATATAGCCTGAAGCAAAATACTGAGAAAGTCTTTGGTGAGTGGAGTGGGGGAAGTACAGACAAATTAAGAGCATAACCCTTATTATAGAATCTGTGAATTGAAAATCTCGTACATATGAACCTCAGTAACTACTGCACCACAGTTAGTGACACACTGCTGATTGCTGAACAGTAAAAGGAGTGAAATAAACTATTTCCTTCTGTCCATTGAACCAGATCTACTCAGTTCGTTCTAAAATACGTTGGTTGCCTTGCTTTTGTCTTGAGGGCAGTGCTGTGCACCATCAGACAAACATGTCGGGTGGAGTGACTTTTTTGCTCCCTGTCTTGATAGAATTCAGTCTAGAAATTGATGAGAAAAGGGCATGCGATGACTGCTAACTGCAGAATGACCCCCACCCATCTGACCTCAGTTTCTGTGGTAATTTTAGATTTTGCTTCTTGTAATGCAGGCGTATTCTCATTATATTTGCACTAAATGTGGAACAAGCTTATTTGCTTGCAAGATTTGAACATGTACTGATTCGGAGTAAAATGCGCACAATTCAGAGTCTGGTAGGTGTAACAAAGCTGACAGGCCCTTCAAGAACCAGGGAAGGCTATTGATAAATCCTACATCAATACTTCGCCCCCAACTTATCTATGTAAATTTTAAAATATTGTAATATTGTGGAAATTTAAGATATAAAGTCTTGTTTCAAATTAATTCAGAATTTACTTCCAGTGTCGCTTATGGATCTCTTACTTGGTAATCAGAAAAACAGGTAATTTCGTGTTTTGTTTGAATGACATTCCTCTTCCTTTGAGGAATACCGGAAGATGCTCTTTAGTGACCACTCTCATAGATTTAGAGTGTTTTGCTTTGGTAACTCAAAAGTCTGCACTGTTTCCGATTAGCAAAACTAGTGGCCATCATGTTTACGAAGTGTTGCGTAGCTGTGGAATAGTGTATGTTAGGGAAACTTGTATTCATAAATACAAAAACTGAATAATATAATTTCACTAACATGAGTGTCTTTATGTGCTTTATTTGAGCCATTCAAGCGACTGACCTTTCATTACAGCTCTTCCAGATTTTTCTGTTTGTTTTCAGCTGTTGGACAAGTTAAAAGATCGCTGGATGCACACTGGCTTATGGAGGAACTTGGAGCTGGTTAAGACAGTCATCGCAGAGCCTCAAGGAGGGGCAAAAAGTGACTTTGATGAGCTGCTGAAAATATACTATGATGCAATAAAATGTAAAGGAGAAAAAGGTACGTTCTTCAGATATACGAAATAGCTGGTACAGACTCTTCAAATTTTTTTAAAAAAAGGGATTCTTAAAGTGCTTAACAGCTAGAATAAAGTATGGATAAACAGTTAAATTAACATCAGCTTAGTAAGTTATTGTGACAAATGAGGAAGATGAACTATTTATATAGTTGCATGAGGATATCAGGAAGTACAGGATGATGCATAATCCTAACAGTGGAGTTCCAAAGGCAGTGAGCTGTGTAAGGATGTGCAGGGGTGTGTCCAGCAGGGTGCAGAGCAGCTTCTTAAAGAATCAGACTTACAGTACATTGCGTACCTGTGATTTACCATCTTATATTACAGCCACTGCAGGATTTCTGCTCAAAATACTTAAATATTAGTATAGAGAATAAAGAATGATAATATGTCAAAAAATAAAAAGCATGATTTTTTGGAGTGCAAAATTTACAGTTTAAAATGTAAAATTTTGTTGTAAGTACATATGGTTCTTGCATAATTAAGTACCACAATATTATGTAGTGCATAATTATTTTGCTAGTTGATATTAAAAGATATTGATCAAATGATATTGATCAAAGTGGAGTTAATCTCATCCCTTCTCTAATAAGTTTATACTTTTATAGCCCCTCACCTTTTGCCAGACTGATCCATGGTGTGTTATGCTATATTATGTTTAGCTGTTTAAAAGATGTTGGTGAAACTTTCTTCTGATACTCAGTTTATCACTGGGAATGATTTGTATATTCCTCTCTGGCTTGTTCAAGATGGAGCACTTCTTATAGCTGTATGCAGAGGAAAAGTTAGTGAAGGCTTGGATTTCTGTGATGAGAATGCCCGTGCAGTTCTAACCATAGGTATTCCGTTCCCAAATGTGAAAGACCTTCAGGTAGGATATCAATTGAAAGAGTTGTACTTTATTTTTAAGTCATGTTTAAAACACCAAATATACACAAAATATTTTTTCTAAATGTTTACTGTTGGACTCCCCTTAATCCCATTTGAATTCTTTGAGTTACCTTCTACACAGGTAAGAGGAGGAACAGTGTAGCGCGTCTTGTGGCCTCATTTATGTCGTTCTAAATAGATGTGTATCATGCTAGATGTATTTTAAATTTGTCTGACTCTGCTAGTGAAGGCTATTGTATTGTTAAAATGCTCATTAACTACATACTCTGCTAAGCAACAAACGGTACATGTTTCCATCTTCACTTGACTGTTTTCATATGCTGAAATTTGTCATTTGTATAGAAGTGAAGTTGCTTCCTGACTTTTTACTGGTGTGGGGCATTTGGTTGTGAAGGTCTAGGATAAACGCTAGGAAAATACCGCTTTCAATAAGGCATTCAGATTGATCAAAAGATTATGTCAGAAAATAGGTGGAAAGATAGTTATAGTGTAAAATAATAACATAATGAAGCAATGTATTTCACACACTAGGTCATTATCAATTGCAGTATATCGCCTCGCTAATGCCTATTGCCTTCTTTAGTGTAACTATGTGTATGACACTTCCCACTTAAACAGAGAGCAGAATTGTAAACCTTTTCCAAGGTAATGCTGCTTTACTAGCTTGCACTTTTGAGGTATAAAATTATGACATGACATAATGTAAGCTCTTCCTGGATGCTGGGGACGTTACTATTTTGATAATTCAAGCTTCATCTAACTAGGCAAAAACTTCTAAGTGCCTTCCAAAAGCAGGATTTTGAAGTGCCTCCAGTCAATGAAATTTGAGACTATTTGTGTTTTTCAGCAGGTGGCCAAAGTAGCATCCTGTTGCTTGCACTGCTGTGTAAATTACCCACATCAATACTTCCTTTTGAGTTCAACAGGACTTGTCTTATGGATAGATGATGTTCCATTAGGTTGGGCACTTCGTACTTGAAGCCAGGCATTCATAAAGGAGAAGCAAGCCAATGAATACGGAAGAATGTTTTTCTAGACTTCCTACTTAATGAAAAAGAACATTTATTATGGACTAGTTTGTAAGACCACTTATTTTTTTAGTGGTCTGTGCAGGCCACTTAGGTAGTCACCCAGCTGCTGGCACACTTCTTCCAGTGATAATAGCCACTGTCTCTGCTTTATCTTATGTGTACCTTTTAGAGCTTTTGGAGACTACTTTGTGAAGCTAAGAAACTAAGTGAAGTATCACAGAATAAATGAATACCAGGAACAGCTGGATTCTGGTTTATTGGTAATGCCAAATCAAACAAGAAAATCATAGGTTCACACTTGAAAGCCCAAACAGACTCAGCTTTGGTTTTAGAGATGTGTTCTGAGCTTAAGTGAACAACCAAAGACTTCTTTGTTGTCTACAGTGTGCCTAATTACAGCCTTGCTGGAAAAAACCCACATCCTACAAGGACTAGTAAGGTTATATTAGTGGTGGCTGCCTAGTGCAGTGTTCTTTCAATGTTTGCATAACTTTCTTGAAGCAGTTATTCAGCCACGACATTTTTTGTCTTACTAAAATATAATACACTGTACTTTAGTATAAAAATATTTACATTGAAAGACTACTTAGCACTCTTTCTAGTGTTAGATATGCTTCATTTTAGAAGCATATGCTGACATGATATTTTGGAAGTGCTTGGTTTGTAGTATGGCTGGAACTGTTACAATTTACTCCAAATGACTTCCAGAAAGTCAGTATTTTTGGTTCTGAATGATACAAAATTAAATGGAAAAGAATGTGTCGGGGTGAATTATGTTGACAGTGGATTATGTACCTTACGATTAAAGTACTGTATTTGATTTTACGTTGAATTGAACCAAATATGTAATATAACAGAATCACAGGCAGTACACCCCATTACTGATAACTAAATTCCAAAAAAAATCAGTGTTGTGTTGAACTATTTTTTCTAATTAGACTGAAGAAAACATCTAAATTTTTCAGTACGGATAGAAACACTAGCTGCCAAATTGCAAGCGGCTAAAGGTTTGAGTGTATATATTTAGATATGGTAATGCACAAAGCACTGCAGTGATCAATTCTAGATGAGAGAAGGGCAGGCAGCAGTCTCTTAGCATCAGATTTGAGGAGCTGTCTGGTGCATGGCAGTGCTCCTAGAATAATGTTAGAGGAAATTGGTTTTATTGTGAATATGTCTTTTGCTCAAGAACTCGGATCCAAAGTGATACCCAGCCAGCAGTACTTCCCTTTAAATTGCACCATGTTTTGTTTTGTCCAAGGCTTTAGGATTATCAGATACCCCAAAAAGTTCTGGATTAATGCACATTTCTTTTCCCAGTTGAGCTCAATTGCGTGAAGATGGATAGAGTTCTCTGTTCACTGCAGAAGATTAATTAGTAGCTTTGTAGAAATGTAAGCATAGATACAAAATAAATTTGGAAAATTAAGCATTTTTTCAGTGGCATGTCAGCTCAGGAAAGGTATGGGAATTCCATTTTTTGAGGAAAACTGTCTGTTGATAGTGGAGATTGGCATATAAAATTAAAAATAAAAAGGGAGGGGGAGGTGGAAGAATAGGACACAACATCAGTTTTCACCTGAAGCTGTTCTTTTTGTATATTTCTGGGACAGCTGATCCAATAGTATTGCTTCCCAGAATGGAATGAAACAAATGTGTTATAAAAGAGTGCAGAAAAGTAAGCAGTACATTTTCAAAAATTTTTTAACTTGATATAAAAGCAATGTGATATCCTGTTATTAATAATCTGTGTGTATTAACAAATGCAAATTGTCATTTATTACTTCAGTTTCTCCAGACCAGCAGACCTTACCCGAACATTAGAAAGGAAAACAAACTTTTATTCCTGTACACTTTTTTAATGATTCCTCTAAATACTTTGGAGTTATCTTCAGTGTGTAAAACTTCATAGAACTGAAGGAGTATTACTTTGTCACTAAGGAAAAAAAAAATAACGTGCATGAAACTTGCAGGGATTAGAAGAGGTTCTATGAACCATGCTCTCACGTAGCAGATAATTATTAGTATTACCTGAAATAAAAATTTATTAATTATAGGCAATTGATTGTCTGTAGTTAAGCCTTAACCTGTTGTCCTAGCCAGTTGCAGTTTGGCTGGCTGTATTCCTGTTTCATTAGCAGCTAGAATCCAAAAGTCACAAGCCCAGTTGCCAGGGGGTTAAATGATACTTGTGCCATCCTGCTTACGATGCAACTTCAGCTTCTAACCATACTGCTGTGATCAGATCTAAATCCTGTGGCAATGAGGTGGGACTAGAGCTGGGTTTTAAAGCAAAAGCTGATGTTCAAATACTCCTTGTATTAAACAGTAAAAATAATTTATGATACAACTATCAGGAAGAATATGATTACAGTATTTTATTCAAGTAACTTTTCCTGTTCAGGGTTGTTTTCAAAACAGATCAGTAGTGCTGATCATACTAAGAAGATATGAATTCTTCCTTCCAAGTACAACCGAGTGACTTTCTTTTAGTGTGGCTGATTTTATTTTAAACATTTCTCCTTATTGACAGATTTTTCTATTGGAATTATTTTTTTCTCCTGGGATTAGAAGAATGCAGATTTTTAAACATTAGATGACACTGTACAGTTTATCTTTTTTTGTAGGATTTTAGGATACATTAAGTTCCCAAAAGAAACAGTCTGTTTATAGGATAGTTATGACATTTGCTTTTATGATATAGTTGGTTAGTGTTTCTTTAGGTTTTGTACGCTAACCAGAAAACTGATTAAAACTTGGAAATTTTAAAACTTCCATCTTTGAAGTTTTGGGAGGAGCTTGAGTTTTGGGCAGACAGAAGAAAATTCGAAACACAGTGATACGATTCAAGTTAGACCTATATAGACATAAAATTGTGAACACAGGTACGTCTGTGGCTTTTACGTAGCAGTAGGTGCTTACTAGCTGTACTGAACAAAGAAACTGATAAGATGATTAATAATGACTTCCTTTTAAAAACAGGAAATGCAAGTGCTTAACAACTCCCCTGGAATATCCATGAATGATATACTTCTGAGATTGGTTTAAATTACTAAACAGTCCTCCGCTTCTACATGAAAATACGCCTGCACGTCTGCTTTTTGGGTTAATAAAAGCCCTCTTAAGACTCAATTCCATAACCCCTTACTCCTGCACATAGCTTTTACTTGTGTGAGTAATCCCTTTAATACTTCTAGGACTGTGTACAATCATAAGGGTTTGTAGAGTCGTACCTTTGGAGACCGATATTTTATGTTGGCAGTTTGATGTTGGCTCATCTCCACTAATGTTACTTGTCTGTGATCAACCTGCTTTCTAAATATATTTTATGATTTGTAACTTGATGCTAATACCAGTGAACTGTAATATTAGGGAACATAAATAATGTGATAGAAGATGATGTGTAATCCCATATACGTGTTATCTGATGCTAACATACTATTCATTAACTTCTGTTACTTGTATTGAATTGTAGCATTTTGGATCCAGCTATCAGTCTTTACTGGGCAAGAAACTCATTGTCAAATGTGATGTGTAATACTCCGTTTTATTTTCTCCATGTGTTTGCGCTAAATATATGCCACAGCTTCTGGGATTAAATGGCAAGCGTTTGGTCTCCTTAAGTAACTGTATGCTTTTATAAGTTACATTATTTTCTGTAGAACCTTTAGAAGTATCATTTAGTTTCACTTAAAAATTTTAGACACATAGTATCTTACATTTGCTCATTTTCACAAAGAGAAGAATCTAAAACTCTTTGTCAGTGTTAGGGAGAAAGACATTATTATGACTCAGAAGTGTACTTGATTATAAACAATACTGATTTGAGAAAAAGGAGGCCAAAACCCTAATTCTGTGTTATTGAAAACGGTTTCATACGGCTAAAGAATCAGGTTGCTAAAGCAAAATATATAAAAGAAATGTTGAAGTATTGCTTAGAGCTATGGTA